GCGGAGCTGCGTGTGCTCTCTCCCCAGGCTCCTCCCTCACTGCTCGCTGAGTGAGCCCTGCCACTGGGGCTTTAGTGGGAGCTGCAATGGGATGGGTAGGAGGGAGGGGACCTGTTAAAGTCGCTTGACGGGGTTGCTGTGGCTCTGAAGTGCCTTGTGATCTGCCCTGGGCGCTTCCCTGGGAGAGGTCAGAAGACTCTAGTAGCCACACTGTACACGTGCCCAGATAGCCATGGGAGTCCTGGGGGCTGCCGGGACCTAGTCGACCCAGGCATTCCTTAGCGAGCTGAAATGTTTGGCAAGGTTGCTATGAGGAGGGGTGGGTTAGGAGTTCAGTTTTGTCATATAGTCCAGATTGGCTTTAAATTCATTTATCTTACGTAGATGACCTTGAAATTCTGATCCGCCTTCCTCCACCTCTCAGAGGTAGGATTCCAGGCATGAACCATCATGCTTGGTTTATGTGGTTCTGGGGGATCAAACTCAGGGCTTCATGCTTGCTAGGCAAGTACTCTACTCTCTGAGGCAAATCCCCAGAGGACCAAGGGTTCTTATTTCTAATAAGGCCGTCCTCTGACATTCACTTCACAATGAGTAACTGTGCTTCTGTCACATCAGATAGCTGTCACACAATCACCCAGAGCCTGATTGATCAACTTCAACCACCAGAACAGGGTTTTGAGCCTTTGGACATACAGCTGTCTTCTTCACAGGCAGCACCAAACAGAACCTGCAACCTCAAATGGGCAGAGGTCTCAGCCTTACCATTACGTCCCTCTGAAACCAACTTTAGGTTTGAGGGGTGAACCCTCAGCAGAGGAAGTGTGGTGTTTGTGTGTAAGTGACTGTATATTCAGATCTCCTAGTACCTGTGACCATCCTGCTGCAGAGCCCAGGTATGTACCCACATGGTCCTGTGTGCAATGTGCATACATGTGTATCTGTGAGGAGGGACATTTCTGTGGGCACATGTGTGGGTTATCCTTGCATGTTCTTGTGTGTATGTGTGGGTGCTTCTGTGTCTGCCTCCTGCTGCAGTAATTCTCTGCCATGATGGACTCATAGCTCTGGAACTAGATGTTCAAATAAACTCTTTCTTCTAAAAGTTGCCTTGGTCATGGTGTTTTATAATAGCAATAGAAAACTAATACAGGGAAACATTAGAAGACATCCAAAGGCCACTGCCATTCCTTTCCTCACTTTCCTCTAAGTCTGTGGACCTGCCCTCTAATGGAGTGATGCTGGGAATCCATGATTTGTGTCAGTGTTTTATTGTGCACTAGTGGTTCCATAGAGAGAGGGTATCCTCTGCATCCTCAGAGGAAGGGTATCCTCTGCATCCTCCCCGAAGCACTGTGGGGACCTATGATACTGAAATAAAACATTCCATCTTTGAAGGAAGTTCTTTAAAACTCAGAAGGTAAACAGAATTTAGAAAACTCAGTAAGCATACAACTTGTAGTTCTCAAAAAGTTCCTAAAACACACACACAAATTCACAAGGCCTCCTCCCTAGGGTTACATAAGAAATAACAATTGCTGAGAAGAGGAGACTCTCTGACCAGTTGAGCTGCCCATAAGTCCTGCAGAGAGCTCCAGGGACACAGCTTCTTGAGAGTCATTACACAGGCCGGGCCTTTCGTGATGCACCTGTTTTTGAGTCAACTATGCTCCTGTGTGTAACCCTGTGTAACCCTGGAAAATTCATTTACCAAGCTAGACTTGGGTTTCTTTATTTTGTTCTCAGTACCCCATCTGAGTTGAATCTATGTTTGCTCACCTCAGATCCTGGGGTAAAGTCACATAGAAGCACTCTGCTCATTGCTATACCAGATCCAGAGAGGCCCAAC